TTTATTTTTATATATTTTCCAAGTAAATTCACGAAGAAGTTTATAATTTTTGATATCACATATCATAGTTTTATCTTAATCAAGTTTAACTTCAAGGAGTTATTTTTAAAATCGCCAGTTTTATTTTGAGGGGGGTACCCCTCAAAAAAGTTTTACCGGCAGATATAAAAAAAAACCGAATTTGGCAATATTTTTATTATTAAATTTAATCAAATTTAGCAATAATTTAGCTGCTGAAAGATACAATTTCAACTAATGTAATATTGGCTTCTTTTTTTCAATCATGAATCAGTTATCAATTGATTTTTTTTTTTTTAAATTTTTTAAAAATATATATATATAAAATTGTTATAAAATTATTTATATCTCTATCTTTGATACTGTTAAATAGTTTTATTATATATTTGTCATATTGGTTTGAAGAATATATTTTTTCTTATGTATTTAGACTGGTTCACTTTTTTCAAGAAAATTATTATAAAATTTTTTTTGAAAAAAGAAGAATTAATAGAAAGAGTTTTTTTTTAATTTTTTAATTATTTATATTTATTATTATTTTTTTTATATATTTATATCTTTTTAAATATATTGTTTTATTTAATCTATTTTTTTTTTAGTTTTTTGTATTTTAATATTTTAATAGAATACATAATAATAATAATATTTTATTAATGTATGTGAATTAAAAGAATCTTTATTTAAAGTCCATTATAAAATAAAATATTATTTTAAGATTAAAATTAAAGCTATTATTGTTTATATTAAGTTAATCAAATTTAATTAAAAAATTTTTAATTATAATAAATATTATACTATTCAAATAAAAATATATTTATTAATTTATTTAATTAATAAATCAACAATTTAGTTTATCTATAAATATTATATAAAAATATTACTTTTAAATATTTTAAATATTATTTATTTATATCTGAAAAGATAATATATTCCTTTTTTATTATCATCTATAAGATTAGATTAATACTTATTAATTGATTTTATTTATGTAAAGAATAAATTAAACTATTTAAAGCTAAAAAAATAGGAATTTTGAAGTTTAGCAAAGTAAAGAATTTATAAAAGGTTTAAAATTAGATAATATAAAAAATTTTTTATATAATTTTGATAATATTATAATATATCACAGTTTTTAATTGATAAAAGATTGGAATTTTTATTTTATTGCAGCTTAATGTAATTTGAAAATAATTTAGATTATTGATTATAATTTTTATAGATTATTTATATATTTGACTAGAATATATTTTGTTAACCCCTATATAATATTGAATATAGAATTTTGTAATTGATAATCTAAGAGCATTATTATTGTACTATAAATCTATAAGTTCTATTAAAAACTTTTTTCAATAATTTTCTCAATAAAATAATATTTAATTATAGTTTATAATTAATAAAAAAACAAAGGTTCTGTTTTTATATAAAATAACTAAAAATAAATTACCAAATATTTGAATAATATCTTATAAGTACTCTTATTAATTTAACTTAAAAATAAATATTAATCTAATAATTGTATCAAAATAATCTTTAGAGTTTTAAAGTATTATTACTATACTATAAATTTATAACTTCTTGTTTATAATAAATCTAAAGAAAAATATGTATTATTATATATTGTAAATTAATAGGCATATTTTTAGATAAAGTTATAGAACCAATCTTTTTTATTTTAATAATATTAAATTCACCAATATTTACTTAAGCTTATCGAAATAAAACGATTATTACCTTTATTCCCATAAAAATTCATAATATTAATTAATTAAAATCATGAATCATGAATTATCTAAGTAAATTTGAGTTAACATAGAAAAGCTTTATAATTATAAACAAGTTTATAATATCTAAACATACGTTAAAACATATGAACTTGAGGCGCACAAGGTTTTCCTTTTAAGTTTGAATACGAGCGCAACACTTAAAATCTTCAAAATCATATATAGAGCACGATATAAAGTACCTTTTTTTTACTGGTATGATTAGGCAATAAAGTACATATAATTATTATTTCAGCGAATAGTAATCGCCATACAACAAATTAAAAATTATATTTGCATTTTATATAAAACGTAATAAAGAAGGGATTACCAAAACTTGAGATCTGTGGAAATAAACTCTTCGAGTTCGATTCGTGCTACTCATGCTCAAATATTATCACCAACTTTATCATCGCTGATTTTTTCTTCTTCAACTTTATCATTGCCACTCTTGCCGTTTACCTTGCCATTCACAATTTTACTACCATTATTTTTATTATCCTCGTCAACTTTACCTTCTGGTTCGTAATATTCATGGCTATCGGCACCGTCATATAAAGGTATCTCTTTTATCACCTCTTCCCAGAATTTCTTCAATTTCATCTCATCTTGGCAGAAATCCTGGATATCTTTCATAAGCAGGTCGGGATTTGCCTGATTCTTGGGGTTCCTGGTTATAAACAATCGATTGTTCACGAAGAACAATCCCTCACCCGGCTTGCCTATCTGAATGAACGCTACACCGGTACGATGTATATATTGGGAATATTTGTAATGGGTTCTTGAGTATGAATACTTGACCTTCACATCATCAGGAAATTTACAATCTGCCTCAACGTCTAATACAAACTCAAACTTTTTCACCAATTGTTCCTCAAAATATAAATCAGGGTCTACGTCGGAGCGTAATTTTTCCTTGAATGGTTCCAACGATGGCGGCGGTACTGATAATTGTATCACCGTAGGAAATTGAAATGGATTGTTGTCATATAAATTTATCGCTTGATCAACAGGCGCCTCTACCAATTTTAAACCATGTTTATTGGCCATTTTACTCCATTGTCCTAACATTTCATCTATCAGACTGGATGTACATCCGAGCCAATTTAACTGAAAATGATAACAGTTGTCCGGATTATAGATTATATCATAATGTAATGTGGCAGTTTCTTTTCGATCACTCTTTTTAGAGGGATCAATGTCAATGAATATTGCTTTTGTTAACTCGACCACCTCGTCTTTATTTCGACTGTCCTTAGAGGACAGTGATTTTTTACTTTGAGCTGCCGAGTTGCCTCTCAACACATGGTTAAAGAAAAAACCCTTCGGCGAAGGACGCCTTGGCGCATACTTTACACATATCTGGTAGATATTGTATCCGTCTGCAAACGGATGCTTATGTTCGCAATGTTCAATTATTCCTCGACCTTGCAACGACTTTCCAAACTCCACAGCATCCTTTCGAGTTTTAATGTCCGAAAAATTTCTCATCAACCAAACTACTAAATCACTACCACGCATGGCATTTTGGTGTGTTCCAAAACGCCAATTATGGTCCCTTACTAGGTCTGCCGTAGGACTCAGCATTGCCGCAACTATGTCTTCCGGTTTTGAATCCTTTGTGAACACAGGATTGCCTGCCGGATTTCTAGGATACGGGTCGTCAGGGTTTTTCAAAAAATCCGATAAATCTAATGTAGTGCATCTCAAAAGTGATGTAATATCATTTTTGTTATCAGTTCTCACATCATGCGGAACCCATGCGGCCTTTTCGAATGCCTCGAGAAAGTTGAATATACCATCCATTCTATCTTCCTCGTTTACCGGTGCTTTACCCGGCTGAAATCCTTCCGTTGGGATCAGTATGAACCTCGTTTTCCAGAATTTCAATTGTTCTAAAAGTTCATTTCTTTCTAAGATGTCATCGTGAAACCCACAGACTAATTTATCAACATCGTTCCATTTATAGTCGACCTTTGGAAAACAAAATTCAACTTTCTTTGTTTGATAAGATTCTTGAAGCCTCGGTAATATAGCAAAAGTGTATGAAATTGGCTTTTGGTCATAATAAATCTTGCGAACGTACCTCTTAACTTCTACCTGTTGATTAGACAGATCATACTTCAAATGATGAACATGACGTCCCATACTAAGATAGTATGACTGTGTATTGAGGTTTTTCGGATAATTTGATGGTGTTATTAATTGATATCCCTGAGACAAACGTTGATTGATTAATTCATTTAATAAGTACTCTTCGTTTCTTTCTAGACTCATATTGTATGTGTGTTCATTATGCTCCTTAATTGGTGGAAAGTAATCGGTGGTCACAGGTAGACTGGCCGGTGTGCACAATGCTGACCACTTCATAAAGGTTATTTGTTTCGGTATAGGATATGCGTGTTCCCACCTTAAATACGTACCGACACCATATTCATCACTATTCTTTGAAAGATTGGAGGGATTCACAAATGTAGATCGATGTAGCTGCCTAGATGTTGTATGTTCCTCTGGCAATGGATTCGCAAGTGATTTGCCCCTGTTTTCTTTATCATTCATATAAAAATCGTGATTTCCTACATGTGATGGTGGTGGGTCTTGGTTCAAGTTTCTCTGAATTCTATGCGGAGAATGAATAGCAATCGGCTTTGTTTTGCTATTTGTCACGTACGTTACGTCATCCTCTGTCATTTGCCCGTTACATCCAAAACCATCCTCTTGATGGTGGTCATGCAATGAATGGAACTTTTGTTTTGATATATCATATTGCCAATTCTGACCGTGATGCGCGACTACGGTGGTTAAGGCTTTTGGAAAACTTTTCGACATATCTGATAATTGATTCTTTGATGGAAACTGAGCAATTTCATCATATATTCGTTGTGATTGAGGGTAGTCGGGTGACCGAATTGAAAGGTTAGCGGACTCGAAATCCATATGTGGATAATGCTGCTTTAAATTTATGTTACTATGTCCACCATTAAAGCCATTTTGCTTTGATCTACTAGAAAATATATTTTCATCATATCCATCATAATCAAAAATATTATCCGCTCGTGAATAAGGTGATTCTTCTAAATCTGGAATAAGGATTGATGATATCTCGTGTTCCATGATGCCCATCATTTGTATTTCATACATTTTACATTGTGTGACAAACTTGTCGGGCCCAGGCAGTTTGTGCCGATTACCCGGGTAGAAAGTACAATCTACCCAATCTGGAGTTTTATAATATGAATAATTAGCTTCATTTTGATCTTCATCATAGTCCAAAGGATCTCGCAGTTCTGATAATGAATGATCTGGTGTTTGTAGTTTATTTTCTTGTTCGAGTTTTTGTTGGTCTTTAGAAATTTTTTGTCGGGCCTTAGAAATTTCTAAAGATTTGAACTTAAACAAAGGCACCCTATGAAGAGGGACCTTCGACAGACACACAAGATCTAATCCTATGCCATTGTCTACCATACGTTCCGTGGTGATCCTTAAAGTTTTCTTGTCAACCTCAAACCTTCCGCATCCAGGAGTAACTACAATTATCGATAATCCCGTGTGTGATAAATCTCGATCAACGTAATGCCTATCAAACGGATTCAATGCCAAATTTATGGCTTCCAATATGTTACCCGAGAAAGCATAAGAATTCTTTCCCGACAATACACGATATATGCCATCACCTTTTTGCTTCTTTCTTAACAATATGTTTTGTTGGTAATTCATGAGTTCATTTTTCAACTCCTTTAATGTCATTGACCAATCACTCTTCGTTTCCCAATCCACTATCACCTTATAGAAATCCTTGTAGCATCTTCCCTCTTGATCTCTCATCAGCGGAGGTTCATTGACAAAAGATCCATCACCCGCCAAGTCTTCATTATAATCATAAACTATTCTCGAAAACAACACTATCGAAATGACATGATTTGTTTGATTCTTCTTCAAGCGATTAAATAAATCTACGAAAAATCCGTCAACTGTTTTCTCATAATAGAGATCTCCATCTTCATCAAACTCCCACATTTCCCTAGACATTTGAACAAGGATAAATATTTTTGCGGATTCAGATCGAAAAATCGCTTTTGTGTTCTCTGTTACGTATCCGCACTGTGCCTACAGTATGGTAAAATTTAGTAAAAGCAACAACAAAATATATTTCGACTATGCATATTGATTACTTGTTTGCCGTTCACGTAGATTCTTTTTACTTGGGCGCGAATACACCCTGCAAACTCCACTCTCTTATTCCGATAAACACAGGTATTAGTGAGACTTTTAGATAATCGCCACATATCACTTCTACCAATATATTGATCTTTGAAGCAAAATTCAATATAGTCTGCTTCGTGGGTTGAAGCAACAATCTGTTCATCAATCTAGTAATACGAAACAGCTACAGTATCTGATGACAAAAAAAAGAAAGAAAGAAAGAAAGAAAAAGAAAAAGAAACGAATTACACATATTACCTCTCGAACCATTACATGGGAATTATTTGCGAACTTAAATAGATTTGCAATATGATTTGCCACTGAAATCTAAAAATATAATAAAGTTTGAATATCGCATTAAACGAATTACGAAAGTACAATCTTCTACCTGTAGAGTAGGTAGATTAGATCTTTCCGTCCTATCCTTGATGCACTCTTTCTCAACTCTGAAAACGAAATGCTTGCTGTTGTTCGACTCCTCGTTCAAATTATAGATTTCCAAAAATTGACCAGGCTTTATTCCATCCATAGTTATGACAAAATCTCGATCAGAAAATTCTTTCGGGTGTACCCGAAGATTTATTTTTAATGGTGCAGCAGTTATCACGGCTGTTGTCAGGGAGGAGGATGTGTTGGTATTTGTCGATGACACAGAGCCCACGAGTATCGACGATGGGGTGGGACCGGGTGAATTCTCGGTAGTATTTTCTTCCATCATTTTTTAATGCCTTATGATCGATTTTATTGGTGAATGATACAGTCAGGTGCCGACGCGAACTTAAAGATATATGTTCCCGCGGAGAAAACGTGCGTACACGGGAAGAAGTTAGCATAGAAAATATATCTTACCACAATTAGTCTAGTTTACGATGACTTTCGAGAGTCTTTCTTGGGACTAAAATCATACGGTCAATAAAGAATGGTGTGGGTAAAATTTATAGCGAGACACGTTCGACTACACGTTCGTGTCACAAGATTATTCCGTTGTCATCATCTGCTCGCTTGTTTTTTTAGCATATGATCAGTGCAGTAAACAACTCAACCGATTTGGTCAAGATTACCCAATTTATCAATAGCCAAATGACCAAATAAGCAAAATTCATTGTTAATTTACGTGAATGCTAATTAAATGGATTGGTGACGCACTTCTTTTAATTTGGTCATATTATTGCAAAGTTTAGCACTCACGTGCATATATGCTAAATGAAAGTGGGCAAACAAAACATAATAATAATAATAAATCGTTTACTGTACAAGTTTGATAATAATATTATTTTTATCAAAAACTATTTAAATATCATAAAAACTTATAAAATATTTTTAAACTTAAAATTCTATATTAATAATAAAGCAACTTTGAAAAATTTTATATATAGTATAAAAACATAATAATTTAAATACTATTTTTATTTTTAAAAAAAAACTCTTTTCTAAATTTTCCAGATCCTTAAAATTTTCTTTTTTAGGCAATTCACCTAAGAAAAGAAATAACATCCATAAAACAAGACACATATCTTATAATATCAGTATATAGTATACATTTTAGTATAGAATAATATTTTGTATATAAACTTAAATTGATAAATAGCTTAAAAAACATCTATATATTTCAATAACTTTGATCTTTTTTCTCTATCAAAAAAGAAGAAAACAAATCAATATAAACTGATTCACAGTTATAAAAGGAGAGCCAATATCAACTTCACAAAGCTTGCAATCAGATCAGTTCAGGTTGATACCTTTCTTGACACTACAAGGAATTTTAAAGAAAATAAATTTACTTGATAAATCAAGTAAACTTTAAATTCCTTAAGACTCAAAAGGATATTAAAGCTTCCTAAGATTTAAACAGCCTAATATACACTATCTGGACAAAAGTATCACACATTATTTATTTATTAATTACATAAAATTTTATATAATAAATCTATTTAAAATTTTAATATGTTATATTTTATATAATAAAATATTTATATATAAATCAATATTCTGTTGGCCACCCATTATTCTTAATAATTGCTTCTATTCTTTGTAACATATTTTCTATATAATTTATTAATTGATTTTTTGAAATTTTACTCCATTCTTCTTGTAACGCAGTTTCTAATCTTTTTAAATTTTTTATATTTTCTGATCTATTTTTTATTTTTCTTTCCAATTCAGATCACAAATGTTCAATTGGATTTAAATCAAAAGATTGATTTGGCCAATCAAATAAAATTCTAATTTTATTTTCTTAAATCCATTGTTGAACATCTTTAGTAGTATGAATTGGAGCATTATTATTTTGAAACAAATATTCCTTATAATTAAAATTACTATTAATTAAAGGTAATAAATATTTTTCAAATATTTTAATATAATATAATCTATTTAATTTACAACTTACTTTTACTAATGAACCTAATCCTTTACCTGAAAAACATCTCCATATCATTATTTCTTCACCTTCAAATTTTACTATTGGAACCATATTTTCAATATTATATCTTATACCAGAAGTTCTCCAAACATGACCAGGACCATTATTTTTAAATATTGTAAATCTGCTTTCATTACTCTATATAATAATTTTCTATTTTTGAACTATTCAATTTTTTCTTTCAATACATTATTTTAGATGATTTTCTCTTTGTTGATTATTTAAAAGTGATTTTTGAGCTGATACAGTATATGAAAAAAAATATTCATTTTATGTAAATTTCTTCTAATTGTCTTGATAGAAACTTCAATATTGGTTTTTTCAATAAATTTGTTTTTAATTTGTTCTATAGATTCCTTGTTATTTTTTTTAACAATTTTTTTTAAAATAGTTTTGTCTTTAGAAGTCAATAGTTTTGAACATCCAGTTTTAGAAAGAGTAGTAAGATTGTTTCTATTAAGATAATTTTAAATTGTAAGAGAAAAAGTTGTTCTATAAATTTTAAGAAGTTTTGAAATTTTTAATAAAGATTGTTTATCTTTATAAAGATCTATAATTTTATCACATTGACTTTCAGTTAAGTGATATATTTTTGAAATTAAAAATACTGGAAGGGTAGATGTATTTATACTTGATTTAATGTTTATCTATTGAAAAAACACAAAAATTGAACACTTGTTTTTTCAAAATATAAACAATAACATATTAAAATTTTAAATAAAGTTATTATATATATTTTTATATAATAATAAATTTAAGAGATGCAATATTTTTATCCATATAATATAAGAAAGATCTAAATTTAAAAATCTTAAAAATTAAAGTTCGTAGAATCAATATATTAAACAATCAAGTAAACTTACTTATTAAACAAGTTAGATATGAGAATTCAATAACCTGATATTAGCTATCAGAGCTAGGAAGAGTTTTTACAATTGTCATATGAAAAGAATATACAATAGATATTTATATTAAAGATTTTGTCAAAATATTTAATAAAAAAAGATTAGACTAGACTGAACAATATAAAAAAGGATTCAAGATCTTTGGATCTAAAATGATAAAGTCATAGATTGGCCAATCTTTTGAAATCAATTAAATCTAACCAATCTTTTGACTTATTTCAAGGTCAATAAAGACAAAAACTTCTTAACTAAATTAATCTATAACAAACTTTCAATTCTATAGATACTTTATTTAAAAAAAAAAATTAAATATATATACTATAATCACTTGTTTAATATATAAACTTCAAAAAAAGATATTAAGACATCACTTTGAATATTCAGCTATCAAGGAAATTAGAGAATATATGACAAAAGTAAATAAAAATATTAATAAATAAATCAATAAAGAAGTAAAATATAAGAAAAAAGTCTAATATATAATAAGTGACTGGACAGGTAAATAGTTTAAAGAGATCCAAAAATCTAATAAAGATCTTTTTAATACTATCTATTAATATATGAAAGAAAATAAAACTATCTTTTTAAAAAAGTATCTCAAAGAGCCACTCAAAATTCTACCTACAACTATACAAAGTATGATTGATAAGCTCTGTCAAAAAATACAAGTAAAATATAAAAAAAAGATTTGAAATAGTTACTATATTAAAGTTATAGAATGGAAAAAGAAACAAAATATTATAGTAGAAAATAAAAAAAACAAAATATATAAACACAGACTCAACATACAGATCAGAGAAGATCAAGAAGTATTGTTATTACTTTTAGAGGATTCAAATCTGAAAGGCATTATATAAAAAGAAGAAAAGAAGTATATAACAATTATTAAGGATTGAGTTTATTATAGGATCAAAATAATTAATTTTTTACTATAGATAGAACTTAAAATAATTTGTAGTAATTTTTTCTTTAATAAGTAATCATACCACAATAGTATATCTTTATTGAGATATTGAAAGATATCATAATGTTTACAGACTTTTACAAAATGACTAATCATCATTATACATTATTAGTTAAAGAACTATACTACTTAAAAAATATGTGAAGTTTACCAAACTAGTTTGAACTAAACAAAACTGAATCTAAACTAGATACTCTAAGTCAAATTTAGAGAACAATATTATATTCTTCTAGTAGCTGATATAGAGCCTCTAAGTTAATCAGGATTATTACCAACAGTTTATTATTGTTGATTATTTCAAAAAATGATAAATTACTAAAGTTAATACTAGGAAAAAGGAGAAAGAGAAATACAATTCAAAACCCTTCAAAAGGTTCTTGCTTCATTTTGCAGTTTTCTTTCAAAAAAAGTTTACTTGATTGGAATATTCTTTAAGTTTTATGACATTTGAGAAACTTAACTATTCCTAAAAGTGGTTACAAGAAGAATATTTGAGAAACTTATCTTTCTACTAATGTACAGATTCACTTAATACTACTGAAGCTAATGCCATATTATGGAAGAGTTTGTCTAACTAGGATAAAGAAGTCTTTTTAAGAACTTTGCCTGATCAAAATAGAAGCTTGAAAACCTTAACTTTTGTTCAAGAAAATCTTTTCACCACCTAAGAAACTTAAGAAGAGATAGAAGTTGGATCTTCTTTTCTTGTTTTTTTTTTTTTTTTTTTTTTTTAAAGTCCAACTTGACTAGAGTGAATTTTATTAAGTATTTGTGATAGTATAGTATTGATTACATGAGCAATTCATCTAACCTATTTTCTATACTACCTACCCAATGAATACCTCAATTTTGCCACAGTGTGACACTATTTTGTTGTTGCCCTGCTGTGCCTAGGCCACATAGCATCTGATGTTTGTTATGGGACTTGTATTATTATATTTTTTCAGGGAGCTTGAGATGTGTGTTTCTTAGTTCTTGATGTTTTTGTTTCACATTCTTGTTTGTGTATACCATGATAGATCCTTACTGTGTTTAGTCCTCAAAAGGCTAGTTGTAATCTAATATATACAGGCCCTATGGTCTTGTACTAACATTCCAGTGATTCAATGGTATTGCCTTCATTGATTAACCAATGGTCTTCCATTACTTCATTCTTAACCACTTTTCAAATATGGCCTACAGGAGTTTTCCTTGGTTGTTACTTTCTGAATTACTTCTCTCAAATTTCTGGTCTGCCCTATGATTCCCATCTTGACGCTAATGCTAATCACCAGCCTTACACTCAGCTGTCCTTTCTAGTAGCTCTTAATTTCATAATCACAATAAGATCTCCCATTAATTGAAGTTACAGCCCATACGTTTTTGATTGGTGCAGATGACCGAAGTTTTCCAGATCTCCCATGAGAATATTTTTTGAGAAGAGATAG